CCAGCAAGAATTTCTCTAGGGGTTTTGTGATGATGATACAACAAAACTTGTGAAGCAACCAGAGGATGCAAAATGCAAAATGCGTTTTTTTACCACCCCACAAGGATTTACAGAGCTGTGGGGGTTGTTGATGATTCATATATATATTTTTACCTTGTGTTAATCTTTTGGGTCCCTTTTTTTTTTACCTCTGATAGAAGACGACGCCTAAGGTTAGTCTGGCTTACGACATGAAAACTGTCTGCCTCGTTGGTTAGATCGAGTCGGTCCCATTTGGAAGTTCTTCTCGGTTTTCAGAGCTGCTGCTAAAGTTGGTGTAGTTCTCGATGCTGCTACTTGTTCGTGGTTTGCCTGGTCTTGTCCGGATGTTGGAACCCATTGGAAATGGTTCCTGCACATTAACAACGAAGCACATTCTCATCAAAAATAGCTGACCAATGACTAGTTCCAAACCTATATGGCTGCTTATCGAACAAGCATTAAGAACCTAAGCATAAGTAACAAACGAAGAGTATAATGATATTCAGTGGGGCCTTAATCTTTCTTACCTGATCACCAGCATTTGGACCAGCGGTGTGGAAGAGTATAGGTCGGCAACGTTTGTCTTCGTTCATCAAACTTGAGTTCTGAAAATGGGCGATAAGAGCTGATTTTCCCTGAATCCGGCCGTATGCAAGAGATGCCACCTTCTCACTGTTGAACTTTTCCCATTTCTTACCGTTGAATGCCTGTTAAGGTTATAAACTTGTAAACCAAATGCTTTTTCTGAACGACATAGGTACGATCATTAGAAAGTAGAAGAATATACCTTATAGAACGGAACAATATTTTTAGGTTGGGTAAGGTTGATGAACGCATATCCCACATTGCATTTGTTCTGCAAATAGAGGAAAAGGTTCATTGACATCGATACAACCATAAGCTACAAGGCCCTGCATTAGACTCTATTAGATAAAAAGGTAGGAGGCTTTGCTTACCTTAAAGTCAATTGGCAAATAAAGGAAATCATAGGTTCCTTTACAGTACTCGTCAATGGCAGCTAGAAGCATCTTAGACGTATACCTAAACCATTACAAGAAAAAAAAAAATGTATTCGAACATGAAACAGGATAAAATGAGCAACTTGCGAATATAACTCAGACCAGAATCAATCAATAGTTGCAAAACGCATAAAACAGGGGATAATAATGGGGAAAGAAGAAGGGAGTTCACTTACTTATTAGGGATGTTTTTTATCATCAATGTTGTTCGGCTGTCTTCCCCACGTAATATGCGATCAACATCAAGCTCATACAGTTTCTTTTCGGCATTACTAGAGTTAGAATCGCTTCTTCGGTGAGAGAGATTCCTGTATCGTTCATTAGGCAAGTCAAATGACCCTGGCACTGAAAGCATCGGGCTTCTTCCAGAAAAGAGGTGAGGCATCTGTCGCGATGATCGTAATACAGCATTTTTTGAATTGGCATCCATTCGATTTCCACCAACATGAGAAAAAACCTTATGAGAACCAATTTCCATTGGCTGTGAGGGAGAAGAGCCAGGAAATCCCATGCTGCCAAGAGAACCTAAGTGAAATCCAGAAGATTCTGGAGATTCAGCTACATATGCCTGTCGTCTATCCCAGAAAGGCGAGTTTAACACTGGAGCAGATCCAATATGGTGGTGCACAGGCGATGATGCCATGTTCACCATCAGAGGAGATGCTCTTGAGAATCCAGTAACCTGTGGAATGTGCTGAGAAGGAAGGCTGTTGACGCGAGATGGTGAGTTAGGCCACATCATGCCACTTGACAGATTTTGTTGCTGAGTGTTAGAGTTGCTCCATAAGTTGAGGTTGGTGCGGTGGGAGCCTTGATTTATGGGAGATCCTATGACTACAACAAGAAAATTACAAAAAATAAAGACAAATGAGAAAACTGAAATAACTTGCACAAGCAGGTAAGTAGAAAAACTTCATCACAATCTTCTAGTCAAATTCTTTTAATATGCAGAGTACTTATTGGTCTCTTTCCTTCTTCACACTCCAGTGTAAAACCACATAATCTATTCAGCTAAATTGCATCTTCTGTCACATTTCAAAACCTCCTAAAATTGGTTAGGATCAATAGATATCCGTAATTTGAGACTACTCATTGATCATATGCTATAGTAAAGTATTCTTCTTAAATTCACAATCGTCGGCTACACATCATCACTAACCCTAGGCAAGTATATAAAGGCAGACAAGCAATTAGAAGAACATGTACTTACCACCTCCACTAAACCCATCTACGCCCACTCCACGAACATTGCTCATCATAAAGCCTTCATTTGCTTTTTGACCATCTCTGACCATTTCAGAGAATGTGGTAGAGGATTTATAAGGACTACCAGTTGCAAAACTGTCAAGGTACTCAGGAAGAGAATGAGGATGAAGATTTGGCAGGCTTTGGATCCCCGTTTTCGAATTATCAAAAGGGTTTACAGGCTCTTGAAGACCAACAGGCTTAGTAGCTGATCTGATTCTTGCTGATGGGGGCAAACCAATAGGAACATCGAGACTCTGATGACGTTCAATGAAGGAGTTCACAGGTGACCCCACAGCATTGTGCATAACTCGCATAGGTCCACCATCAATGGAGGTCGAAGCTAATATTCCAGGGAAATGTCTCCCTGAAACAGAGATATTCAAGGATAGGTATGAGTTGTGACCCAAGATGCCAAATCATTAAGAAATGAATAATCATAAACTGTGTGCACTACTATACCTATGTGTGCTGGTGATAGATTATTAAAACCCATTTTAGGTAAGCACCCCTCACCATCATCTGCAGTAAACTGTGGCGTGAAACTGAAAAAAGAAACAAAGAATTATGATTCACCCTACACATCAACACTTTGTGTTCTTATTCAGATTTCTTATTGAGATTTGACAGCAATAAGAGGTTCACAATATGTAGCTACTGCATCAGTTCACATCCATAGAGAAAAAACTAAGGCAGGAAGAAAAATTGATAAATCACCTTGTACCCTCTGGACTGGATGGCACAAGTTTAAGCTGCCTCCCAGCAATCTCTAGCCCATTTAGTCCTCGGAGAACGGCCTCTGCAGCTCGAACATCAAAGAACTCTATGTATATCTGTGAGTTCTCATGCATCGCTCGACGAACCTGCAAACAACAGAAATAACATAACTATCACAATCACAAAGTCACATAACCGACAATATCACAGAGCAAGTAGTAAAAGGATAAAACAAGTGCGCAAACCTCTCGGATTTCTCCATATGAACCGAATATTTTGTGAAGCTCTTCATTGGATATAGAAGAATCGAGATTATTAACCAACAAGGCTCCTTCGCTAGTGTTCTCTTTTGACAGATTTTCCTGATAACACAAAAAAAAGAGTAATAAGGAAGATATATATAAGCACAAATGACACACATAGCACAGGAAGAAACCACAATCACAAAAACAAAAAATGGGGATGCGAAGAGTGAACAACACCTTTGGGAATTGAACATCAAGCTTCCTTCCCCTTAAAGACCCACTGTGAAGTGCTCTCATCGCATTCTGAGCAGCTCTTATATCATAGTATGACACCATGATCAAGCCACGATTCTTGCTAGCTGTATGCAGGGCCCGGACATCTCCATATTGCTACACAAGTAAATATATAATCAATGAGAAGCAAATACTTATAAATACCAGGTCTTGCCATAAAGTAGGTATTTGTAACTAGAAACACCAGTGGAAATACGTACCTCAAAAAGGACCCTCAGCTCGTAATCGTCAATGATGCTATCGATATTCCTAACAAAAAGTATTCTAGATAAAACTTTTCCTCGAGGATGCTCACCAACAACGGAAACATTGCTGCCTCTCTTGCCGTCTCTTTGAACCACAGAAGAAAAAACATCTCCATCTAGTTCCATGCCACCAACACTGCTAAAAATGTCACATTCATCCAAATCATCTCCAACATTGGCACGAGACTTATGGCCAACGTCACCAACCACTTCTGCAAATAGATCATCCTCATCTGGAAGAAGATTTCCAATAGTTTGTGCCTCCATCTCTTCTAAAGACTCAGAAGGTTCTTCCTCGCGATTCGCAGACATAAAATCTAACTTATCACTTCCTGGTAGCCGTACTGCAAAACCAGCAACTTGGAATCACGGATCACACAACATTACGAGTAGAGCATACAAATAATATACTTTCATGACCACAACAATACAGTATTGCACCCAATCCAAAAAAATGGAGACCGTCATTCTCCTGCTATACTTATTAAGTTTCTTTATCCCATGACGAACTTCATAGTTAGATAGTTATTAGAAAACCAACACAACTAAAAAAAATTGTAAAACTAAATCAGAAGCTTACATTGTCTACTAAACAATTCAGACAGCGAGCTGGAAAACAGACTGCTCTCCCAGTGAGCATCACTTGTAGTTGTTCTTCCATTAGAGGTAGCGGAAGGAAGCGCCCCAGACAAGCTTGATTGTTGCGAAGCCTGGTAACTGTCACCCTCAGGCATCGGATTGGTTTTCATGAACCCAAATTGTTTCTGCCCAAGAAAACATCAACTGTCTTGAGACAAACCAATTCTACGCATGATTCTACAGGCACTGTTGTGCGTAATTTGGGAGCTGTATCATAAAAATTTCAAATACTCCGAGCAGAGAATCGAAGAGTTACCTCAGGAGTAATGCGAATGTCTTCACGAAAATGGGAAGGTGTCGGTACACCTCTCGGTTCCAATATATCAGACGGCATTGTATAGCTGACAACAAAATCCAAAGAATGAGGGAAATCAAATCAGACTCTTTTAAACTTGTTATAGTTTTGCCACCTATAGAATCAAACTGCACATATCATTTCATCAAACATAAGGGACCCAAACGTTTATCTACCAAAGGCCAGACAAAAGATCAATTCCAAAGTACACAATTCCATGAATAAAACAGGAGATTCTCTTAGTACAACCACCAAAGCCAAACTCAATTCCCAATTCCCAAAATCTAAAAAGTATTAGCAAATACAAGCAATCTAAGAGCTAAGAAAAAAACTTTGACTAGAGGCCTAATTCTCGGATCTTTGTGCAGATAATGAAAATATGAAACCAACTCCTACCAAATTCAAAAAACAAAAACCCTAATTCAACAACTAAACAAACAAATTTCATCAC